CCTGGTGCAGCAGCAGCACTCAAGAGGATACCAAACTCTGATACTGGGAAGCGTTAGGTAAGAGGCCTGGCCCTCAAACACCTTCGATAATGGCTTATAATCCAGTTAGAAGCTCTTCTACCAAAGGCAATAAAATCAGCCATATGTTAGTACCCTGTGGACTCTTATTCATAAATGGAAATAATAGCTTAAACCACCAATGGTGATGTAGGATCATTCTAAATTGCCTCAATTAAATCAGGTAAAGATCAGTGCTGTTACAATGCCAGCACCTATGTTAGCATTACTGTTAAGCAACCTCAACAACTACAGTGGAAAGCAGCTAAATGGGCATCAAGAGGAAAAAGCCACTTGCTGCAGAAAAGGCTCCCACAAGCAAACACGCAGATTCACTTCACTGTCACCTCTTCCAGTAGATGCGAGTTGCTGTAGGCTTAGGAATACATTTAGTCATAGTTATAGATAACAGTCCGTGTGAAAAGGAAATGCAAGCAAGTTGTGCATATGCCGCTTTAACAGATCTATGACTACTGCCTTGCTGTTCTAGCCCCTACCTTCAACACTAATAAACACACCTCTCTCTCAACACACATCACGCCTGACTACTTCAGTCCTGGCTCCCTGGAACAGCTCTACAAATTCAGGTCAATTTATAAAGCCTCTTGAGCTCAATTAAAAGCACAGATACTTCTACTTTGCAGAAACAAGATACAGAAAAGACCAAGCAGCTTTGTTCCCTTGTGAGAAAACAGTTGTCGATGCCTGCTCAGAATCACTAACAAAAATAAGTTTGTGTGAAGCAAAATATAAGCTTGAAAATTGCCACCTACAATGCAAAGATCTGGAGACCCCATCTAGACTTAGACATTTCGTATGGGTTGTACTCTCACAACAGGCAGGGCAAAAGAAAGCAGAAAGCAGAAAAATCCAGGCTCTCAACCATCAGGGAAACCTAGGAGAGCCAGAAGCCTGCTCAGTAACACCTTAATGGAACTAAAATAAGTCACCAAGGAGACAGAAAGCAGAGGAGAGAACAAGCTTTAAACTCCCCAAACAGCAAGTCCTCTTGCTGGAAGCTGAGCAACAGCTACTCACTTACAGATACATATTTTTCAGGAACACCAGGGAAAGCTAACTTTAGAAAGGGAGCCAGAAGCTGCTGTGGACACACTGTAACGATAAAAACAGTACATACCTTTTCTGAGGAAAATACAACAAATACAATTCTGAAATTCAGCCACTAGATTTCCTATAGCTAAGGTTTGAGCTCATCAAAAAGGCTGACAGCTAGCTAGCTAGCTAGTGCAAAACTGCTGAGTAAGGAAATAACTAATCTGAGGGAAAAAAAAATCAATGGGAATTTAGTATTGTCACACAGTTTTTGTGTATTTTAAAAAATACTATGTAGTTTATCAACTATAACTCTTGAAACAGTCGTACGTATTTCAGAGCAGATCATAATCTCTGTAAGGCTAATTATTCCTACCAAAACACGCCACGGCAGATATCAAGTCATTTTATCTAACCGAGCTGTGATTGCACTCTATATCATTAGGGAACTGCTGCATCCAACAATCTCAGAACAGATCTTTGCAATTCAGACTACTAGAGATCAGAAGTCTCAAAGGCTACTCAAGAATTATTCTTTTCTAACTGGTTTTAAAACATACCCCGCCAGCAATACTGGCCTGAAAATTAGACAGATAACCACCTGCTGACATGTCACAGAGTAAGAAAAACAGTGAGACGGCACAAGGATTAGCAATGAAATGCTTTGGAAATAGGAAAAGAAAGCAGTTTTAAACAAAGATAATTATCAGAGGAGTTTGGCCCTTTCACTGCCCACTGGTCTTCAACGCAGTGTGTAGAGCAAAAGCCATCCCCTCACAGAACAGACACAGCTAACGATGCTTTTGAAAAAACTGCTTCACCTGTCCATTATGCAGCCCCAAAATGCACCACAAGTATCAGACACACTGAAATTTCCCTACTGTGGTTATGCTGGAGTTCATTCCTTCCTTGTTCTGCACAGCTTGAAAGGTTTGTATATTAAGGACAGTTTTAAGCTTTTCCTATCCTTAAGCAAACAGTTTTTAGACTACCTTTAGTCTTGTATTACAAAGAGAAATGTAAGACCAAAAAGCTTTAATTTAACAACACACCACTAATCCCAGACTCACTGGTATCTGGAGCAGCACAAAGGACAAGGCTGCTGTGAATGTCACCTGAAACAGCAATGGAGGTCTTAGGTTACAGGTTCTGCTCCACAACAAAAGGGTCCTTTCCACTATCTACTACAAAGACATATGCTCACCAACAGTTACAAGGATGTGCCCTTGCTGGAGTGACATAATTAATATTCTAAATAACAAGTAGCTAGAGAAAGGCTACAAATTCTTAACCACATTTTTTCCTGTTTCTGCCTCAAATCAAGTATTTGTAGCCAGTTGCCTGTGCAGACATTGCCTGGAAATGTGATACCAGCATGATGTTCTGATCCCACCCTGGCCTTAAAAGCACAGAATAAGGGAGAGACCCTTCTATGTTGAAACTAACCTATTTTGCATTATCGTTTAGTCCTTCAGGGGGACATGTTTTACAGGGTTATTTATTAAGATTTATTTATTGTACTACAAAGCTATATTAATATATGACATAATCTTAGTTATTTTTTGCCACTTAATCACACCCAATACTGCCCGCTAATTTATGTCTTGACACACTAAATTTCCATCACACTCTTAAAAAAAATTTCTGCAAGTCTTCATTTTTGCTCATTTTAATTTTGGGTCTTTCCCACAGAAGTGGTCTACATCTACCTAGATCTTCAAGCCCTTTCTTTCTCTAGCTTCCCTCATGCTAACTCCAAAGAACAGAATATTTAAAACAACAGTGCCAAAAATTCAACAATGTTGACTTACAATGTAAGGGAGGAAAAGAACTAAGAAATCTGAACTTGGCGGGGGGCAATTAGGCAAAATAATTTTCTCCAAGTCAGACTACGTATAAACAAACATAGCTAACAAGTTTTGTAATTCATACAGGTATGATCAGAAAGTACTAAACAGAATTTACACAGAAAAAATCAAGCACCACTAACACCAGGATGACACACTGAAGGCAGACAGAAAGCAAGCTAATGAGTTACTACAAGCCAGCTGAGCCATGGGAACTGACCACATGCGCATTATTAGTCTTTCACAAATATAAAGGAGAATGCGCACATTTGAACGTCTGGGCAGCAGCAGAACTGTCTCTGCCATGATAACTGTGACAAGTGAAGAGTACTGGCACACCACTGGACAGGGTCTGGGACCAGGCAAAAAAACATTCTCACTCTAAAGCATAAATATTAGTCCACAAAATAAATTCTACTGTGCTTATGAATATTACAACATTGTAATCCAAGCTGGTATTATCCCCTCCCTGGCCCTTTTGCTCAGACTGCATTAAAAAGCAGTTGGTGACCATCACAGTCCAGCAGCGGACCATAAGCACATGCAGCAGTCCGGGCAGACTAGAATCTTCGGCTCTCTTTCCAGCCATTGCTGTAGTGCCATGAAAGACCAGCAGGTATGATATTAAAAAACTGCAGGTGCCTATTTCCCCAGCATTAATGATAATTCTCTTATTTCCGCAATCTCCTCATTAAGACAGCAAGCATGTATCCTGGCCAAAGACACTTCTCAAGGAGGTGCATTTGGCTGGCATGTTGGTAAATCCCAGGAAGCCACATAACATACCTATTAGTGCATATGAGAGGAACTTGTTCACAGAGGTGAGGGCCAACCCAGTTATGGGGCCTGTAGTGTCTTCAGAACGGATTACTTCCAGGAAAGGCCGAAGAAAGATGTTGGGTTCAATTTCAGATAGCTCTGTTAAAATAAAAATAATTTAAAAGAGACATTAAATTAGACTTGATTCATTTTCTCTTTAAGAATCTACAGAAAGCTTAATCTCAGAGGAGAGTGGCCTGCAATAGCTTAGTTTCTGAAGGCTGGTGGGAAGGTTGGGGTTGCTTTTAAGTACACACACAAGTATCTATTTTTAAAAGCAATAGTTTGTGAAGTTCACTTTCTTACGATCTTCAAAACAGCCTTCTGGAGCCTTCTAAAACAAATCCTACTGTAAGAACACTGTAAACACCACAGAACCACTGATGCCTAAATTCACGCTTTAATTAATAATAATTAATTGGTTACATTTCCTAGTACTCCTGGAATTGTGTGATCATATGAACTATATAGACCCTGCCCCACCTTTCACCACTTCTGTAACATCCTACTACACATACAGCCTCATACTAACCACATGTCCAGTAGAAATACACAACCAGCCTAGCTGCATCTCTTGCAGCTCTTTGGCTGAATACAAATTGCATTTCTGCAACACTAGAAGTTTGCTTGGCAAAGACAGGAAACACCCACAAGTTAAACAAATTTAAAAACTCTTCTGTCTTGTTCTCAGAATACCTGTAAAAGCCTCTCAACCAAAGAAGAAAAAAGGGTACTCGCTGCTTTGGAGAGCAAGCATCCTCTCTAAAGCTGCAGTACAAGAATGCAGATGCACTGAGCTGTTGAGCTGGGGAAAGAACTAACAAGCTTCCTGAACTTTTAAAGATGATCAACAGAAGCTTTAGGAATGAAAAAGAAATACAGAAAAGGATAGAACTAAGGAAAGCTGGGAGGGGAGGGGGGTGACGACGGATGGACACAACAACACACAACCAAAACCCAAAAGAACCAACACAAGGAATCAAATAAGAGGAGTCCTGAGGAGGATTTAGGAGAAAAAGCATTAAAAAGCAGGCAAAGGCAACCACAACACAGCCCAGTACACATGCAAAGAAGAGTGTATTAAAAGTAACTTGAATAATCTTGAGACCAGAAATATTTGAGTACAAGCACTTGGCTCAACTTGCTGAAACCTACCTTTTATTCCTAATAAACGTTAAAGAAGTCTAATGGCTAATAGTGTCACAGGAACACTGGCTTTTATATTCTTGATGATCCAATATTCCACTTGTCTGTCATACGAGCCTCTTCAAGGTGGGGGAGAAAAAAAAGCCTGCAATTCCTGAATCCTTAGACAAGCTACTGCTTTTCTATCTACCAACATACCTCAATTATTTTACTTAAAAAAAAAAAAAAATCTAAACCCTCCTGACTCTAAGATTTTATCATAGTTCCTATTGAAAAGCCTTAAGTATCAAAATAGAAAGCCTACCAGAAAGCATGTTAACATAACTGTGACAAACTATAATTATGGCAAGGAAGCAAAGGAGGAAGAATTATGCAGGGTTTTTTTGCTTTACATAGTTAAGACCATGGAGAACACCACCAAAGTGCAATAGTTCTGCTGTCAACTAAAGCAAAACTGCAATTAAAGAATGAACTTTGGGAATCATTATGCAGTCTCTTACCTTTCAGCCACCAGTTCAAATGAGGCCAACACCACTAACTTGTGAGAGGTTAAAAGGAACGTGATTATTCAATCTTTTTGGCTTAAGAACAACTCCCCCAACTTGTCAGATAATATCCTGGTGTGACATTACAATTGTGTCACCTCTCAATAACTCATGGAAATGCAGAGGATCATAAGACATGCTTTCATCAATGTTTATTTAAGTGTGCTGTATAGACCACTTGTCTGCTTACAAGCACTTGGACAGCATTAAATATAGTAAGACTACTAGGGATCAACACTCAAACTCTTCTTCCCCAAAACTGATCCTTTCTATAGAACAGTCAGCACCTAATCAAGCCATCATAAAACTGTCAATTCCTCCAGCCTCCTTTAATCCAGTGAGTCCCAGGATGGAAAAAAACCCACAACTTCCTGATTAGTCAGAAAAATGGGACTTCAGCAGACGTATATAGTTGCACAAGTGGAATGAGATGAAGACTAACTTGCTAGCAGAGAATACATAAGCTATCAAACTCTCCATTAATCCATTTTCAGGACAACAAATAGAGGTTATCTTTACAAGGACGCGGGCAGTTTCATTTTTTTCTTTAATTTAAAAGTTGTGACTCTTGATGTGGTTAAAGGTTAGATTCCCCTGCAGTCTAACTGAAATTCTCAACTTACATGAAGATCACAAAATGGCTTGTCACAAGTAGGATTTAACTTACGCACATACTGTTGATTACACAGCAACTCTGGCCAGCTTCCCTGATATTCAGAAACTCTAGCTTTTATGGTAACACAGCATTCTACATTAAGCTCTCTGAAACTGACCGTGTACACTGTAAAAATGTTTCAGACTGGATATTTGGTGCTGTGTTACTGAAAAAAATTAAAAAATATACTAAACAAGGAAAGAGTATTTTTAGTGTAAGACTTACCCACGAAAGGACTACTGTCTGAAAGATCTGAATTTCAGTGAAACATCAATCACACTGCTAATTGTTTGCATCTGAGGAGGATTCACTTGATTACTACAATGAGCTCTTCTTACCAGCTGCAATTGCAGGCATTGAGGACTTACAGGGGTCACTAGCTCCCTTTTCAAAGCAGAGCTCAATCTCGTGGTGCTTGCTTCAATTGGAAGATTGGGAGCACAGAAAAACACTCATACTGTAGCTGTTCTTGATGTATTCTGTCTTGAAGCAGATTACTCTCATTGGCTGAAGTATCCGTTCAGCATCTGAAAGTGGCACTAAAGCTACTTGGAAGGTTTTCACCAAGTAAAAATTGTGCAAACAAGTCAATTAGTCAAAGATCAATCCTTTTCTTTTAACTCAATCCTCTTGAGCTCAGTAACGTTAATTCAGAAGCTCTCTCCCTGAAAGATTTTCATAGACTTATATACTGAACTTACATACTGAACGTGACATGTCCAGAACCAACCTACCAGCCTTTTCAGATCAATTACTACAACTGCAAGGTGCACTCCATACTAGCTTTTACTACCAGAGCTCAAGTTTAATCTAAAGCACAGAACAGTAGGAACTGAATAACGTTCTTTTCACAATACTTTGGTAAGGTAGGACCACAATCTTTAACGAGAAGTGTTCTGCCCAGCAAGTTAAAATTTCATGAAAGAGACACTACATAAAGTCTTGACCTTTCTTGGCACCTAACTGTAAAAGCAATGCTATGCTCTCCTGAAAGTATCGAAGAACCTCAGAAAGGGCAGTAAAATAAGTTATAACTTTAATAATTCCTATGCCAAAACAAAAGCTATATAAAGTAAATATTGAACGTTTGGAAGTACATACTTGAAAAGTTTTTTTTAAAAAAAAGCAGCTCTGATTTTTCAACTTTCTGGTTCTTCCTCTGCCAGATTCAGGTTTAGGCATTACAAATAAGGAAACATAACCAGTGAGAGACTTGAGAATTTCTGAGAGAGAGTTTATCCAAGTGTATTTCCTAGCAAGAGACATTTCTCACTGTTTGAACTAGAAAACACAGGATGGTTCTCTGCTTAGGTAACTACTTTCAACTCTGGCAACAAAACAAACAAACAAAAAACCCCACCCCAAAACCCTGTGAACCCAAAACAAACTCTGCAAGCATGACCTCAGCCTAGGGCATTACAAGAGGAAAAACTGAACAAGTGTCCACAAGGAGATCAAAATTTCACTAGGGATTCCTACAAGCAACCTTCCTTTTCAATCTACTCAAAGCTAGGGAAAATTATAAAACATGATACAGTCTTACATGAAGAGCCTGGGCTGCTTTGGGGACCAGCTGGAAAGCACATCCCGTTCTTTTCACACAGGTCCCCTCCATGAAATTTCAGGGAGGGAAACAGAGATCAGCACCAGCACTACATCCAAAAATGCTTCAGCTAGTCCAAAGCAGTGCATGGAGATTGAGAAGAAGGGAAAGGGTATCTTAAGTAGTGTATCAGAAAGTCAGCTCTTCAGGCTGGCAATTTTAATATGAGGACAGAATTCCTTTGAGACGACAGTGCTTTCCTTCATTCATCCTATGGATTATTTGCACTTAGACACACATGTCTATAAAGATATTTAAACAACTAATTCATGTTTAAGCACCTAACTCCCATTTCAGAAATCCCATCCAGCCATTCTGGCACTTCAGCAAACAAACCGCATCAGACCTCCGGCATCCCCTTTCTCCTGAAGTACAGGAGCAGGTCCCCCTCGGAAGAGATTTCTTATTGTTAGCACACTGTTGGCACATTCCTGATCTAAAACGCTCACATAAGCTGCTTTCTCTGGCAGTTCAACTCTTCACTCCTGAATGACTCTTATCAGGATCGGCTATGCGTTCCGAATCAGAGTAAATGAACGAGAAAAAATTGTTTATGACAAGTTATTTCAACATCATTTGTCCCTAGGACAGGCAACTGCAACCCAAACCACATGACCTGGACTCTTCTTATGCAGCAGCTGTTGGCCTTTGCCGCCCAAGCCTTCAGAAAGGCTGTCTCAGTTGTATCCCACGCACCTCTCCGATGCAGACGAGCTCAGACAAAAGCAATGCTTCAAGCATGTGCTATTACATTCCCTGCTTAGGTACTGAACTGTACAACAAACAGGCATTCTCTTTTCTTCTTAAGGTGAGAAAAAGACAAAGATAACACTGTAACAGAGCAGAAAACCAACTCTTCAGGACTCCTGCCTAGGAGCTCAATGAGTTTATGCCACAGAAAATTGAGGTACCAGCAAGTGTTTGCTGGCTCACCCTCAAAAACACTTTCTGCAAACAATGCCTTTCTGGCCTACATGACTTTATATGTACTTTATTTTCAGTTTACCCACCAAACACCAGAACATTTTGTCTTTTCACCCGAGGGTGAGAAGTCCCTGCAGCCTCTCTCAGCAAGTTGGAGAGAAGAAAAGTTACAAGGAAAAAGGACAAAATTGTACTTGCCTTTTAAAACCATCTGAAAGTATTGAGC